CTACAGCACTTGAGAGACTTTGGTTCAATTCCCACCAGTAAGGTCAGGAAATGCATCCACAGTAGTTAGCAGCTAGTTTCAAAATCTCAATGCACCGAGCATGATGGGGTCATTCAGTGGAGCAGATACCCCAAGGGAAGGGTAAAACAAGAGCCAGGGATTATTTCACAGCACTGAACTGGTACACTGCGGGAGTGATGGACTTCCCTTTCAGAACAGAAAAGCTTACCAGCATACTGTCCTTGTGGCCCACTCTCATTATGAAGAATGTAGCATGTGAAGCAATTAATTGGATGATATGGGCTGGAAAAAGCTAAGGAAATTGTGTGTGCATGTGTGTCTATGTGGTGGGAGACACTAATACAGGAGGACAACGCTACTCCAGCCACACTGACCCTGCACAGTCAGACACAGGATGAGGCAAACCCCAGTGCTGGGTAGAACGAGCTCCTGCATTTACTCCCACACCTGTTCAACAGGTAGACATGAAGAAATAACCTCAGCCTCTGGAAGTGTGCAAAAGGAATGTGGGTGTGGCACTTGGAGATGTGGTTTAGCAGTGAACATGGTGGTGCCTGGGCTCATGGTCTGGATCAGACCATGCTGTGATTCTGTGAAATCTTGATATTAACAAGGGAGGTTGAACACCTCTGCAGGTTGCTCACAGAGGCTGGGGAACCATCATCTTTGGAAATACTCATGTTTTGAGTATTGTGGCCCACAACTGTGCACGACTCCTGGCAACTTTCTCTAGGTGACCCTGCCTGAGGAGAAGGAAGGACTAAGTGAGATCTACCAACCTCAGCCATTCTGGGACACTGTCAATTGCAGTCCACACAAAAGATTCCTCACCAGCAGTTGCACAAAGATTTCTCTTTCTTCAGGATATAAGTTATTCGCAGCAAAGAAGCACAGAAGCTTTTCCATACCTTTACCTCTATTGCAGACATCCCATGTTTTGAAGGGTGATCCCCTTTACCTGAGCATACGTTCCCAGCTACACAGTTAAAGAGGAAAGTTACTCCAGCTTGTGTTTATGCACAAGAATATAAGAGCCCTTGATTACACTGAGTCTCAGGGTGTGAATCACAAGGAAGATTTTCAATGTCCAGCAGTTAAATGTGTTAACGATGACATTTCTGGAATCCTATTTTTATATATGCAAAAGAAAAACAAATAAAACATAACACTTCTTTATAACTGCTCTTGATGATAGTATTTGTTCAACTACAGCTTTGATGATACCACTACATGCTGCAGCATCTTCTTAGAATTTCAGTTTTATAAGCTACACGTATGAAGTTTTCAGAAGTATACTTCTTTATCAGGATTTTTATTCCTAATGAGAAAATAATCTACAAGCAGCATTCTTACATCTCCCATAACCTCCTTGCTATTAAAAGGTTTGTTTAAAATTTACTTCACAGAACAAAACACAATTCATATCGGTTATTGTCCCAATGAAATCTATTTCTCCTCCTTACAGAGCTCTTCACTGAGATGCTAAAATAAAAACTCACTTGAGTTTTAAATACTGTGTGAATTAATAGTCAGCATTGTTTAGAAGGTTTTTTAATTGGCCTGCAGGGAGGTTTTCTGTATATATTAAACAGATCATGTGTCTGCCTTGCAACTAAACCACCTTTACATTTCCTTTGCACACATTAAACTCAAAGCTGTTTAATGTTTTCTTAGGAATATTTGGGTTTATTGTTCACACTAGGAAATGACTGTTACGTTAATCAGTGCAAACCAAGGTTAGTGATTGGTCCTCAGTGATGTCATTCTAGAGTCATAATGCCCCACAAATAAATAGGTTTGGATGTTCGTCTTATTTTTATTTATAAATTCTGTTTCATAACAGCAGTAAGATGCTCCAGGCCATGCACTTCTTGGGGATTATTGCACTTGTCAGGTGTTTAAAATCACTCAGTCCTCTGCCTGTGCCTTATAATACCACTGGAGGTATATAATCAGCCAGAAATACACTGCCTGGAGTGTCTTAATGCTTTATTATGACATATCTAACTTTCAAAATAAATAATTTATTTGGAAGCTTGGAAGTGTCATAATGATATCCAATCAATAGCTGAGAAATAAATATGAAATCAGGAGAACACATCAGAAAGAGAAAGACAGAGGGTAGGAAAAAATACCAGCTCATCAGTCAGCCCAGGCCAAAACAATGTGTGTGCACGCCTATACACACAGAGATGTGTGCACACAGCCAGTGGACCTCTATTTGTGCATAGAATCACACAATATGTGCATTTATATGTCCCTATCTGATTGCTGATATAAACCACAGAGCAACTGCATCGAATTAATATCACAAATTGAAAACATAAGTGGGCTAAACAGATGTTAATAACTAGACCTCTTATTAAATAAAAATTTAGAACATTCTGTGCTTAGTTAGTTAAGTCATTCCATATTTAAGAACCAGCTTCTGTGTTTCATGGAAAGGAAGCCTAGCTACATAATTTGACGTTACAAATTGCATATCACATCATTATCATTACAATCACTAAACTACACACATTCAAAACTGAAGGTTAAAAGCAAAACAGAATAAAACAATGTAATTTTCTAAAAAAAAAAAAAAACAAAAAAAAAAACCAAAGCCCAAAGAAACTAACAAATCAATTTTACAACAACTAGAGAAATTTAATACTCCAGGGTTTAAATTTTTAAATTAAATTCCAATTTGTAAATTATTATGTGGAAATAAGGAACTCTAGTTAGGCAATTGTGCTAAATAACAGTGCAAACCCTGCAGGGGACCAAATTATCTTTCAGTGAGGGAATATGAAAAGTTTTTTGGAAAGGGGCCAGTTTTAGGTAGGGGGTGTTTAAAGCCTTGGGAGTTACTGTAGCAATAGGAAAGATTAATAATTTGCACATGTGAGACTCCTGGCAAGCAGGACGCAGCTGTAAAGAATTAACCCCTCCTGAGAGACATAAAAACATGGAGCAGCTGAGAAGAAAAGGGTGAGGGGAGAATGCAAAAGTATGCAGAGTACAGATGTCCTAGAAGAGAAAAATATGTAAAGTAGGGTTGAACAATGTGTTGAGATTTTATTATTATTTGGGAGGGAAAGGGAATCTTCTTGGCAAATTGTGGGTATATGGGAAAAAGTGAAACACCGCAGAAGACAAAACTAATTCCCTTGTAACTGCCTGCAAATGCAAATAATCTCAATAAAAATCTGAATGCTTCCAAGTCCTTATTGAAAGGATACTCTCAAAGTGATCTGGCCTAAAACTGGACCAAACCGGCTTTGTTTTGGTGTTCATGCATGCCTGCCTCTGCTCTGCGTGCTGACTCCATCGTTGCTGTGTGCGGCCAGGGCGCCGGGATACAGAAGATGCTGAAGGGATTGGAGGGCAGGCTCTCACACAGGCATTGAGCAAGCAAAGCAGATCTGGGGGTGAAGCATTGTGTGACTGTGGGTCTGTAGCTGCAGCTCCCAATATTTGTTCTTCCTGGCTGCCTACCAGAATAATTTCTCTTGTGAGGGTCCAATTTTGCAGCTGCTCAGCATGGCAGAACCGCCCCCTCCCCCAGCCAAATTCAATAGGGCGGTGCATGGGCAGCAGCATGGGTGCACTCGAGCTCAGATGATAACTCTTTCAGAGTCTGGGAGAAGGCCAAAGCAATACAATTTTTAGGCTGTATTAGAAATCTGAGACTATTACCCTTCAAAAGGACAAATTAGGCTTTAGAGAGGTGAAATAAGTAATCCTGCTGATTTCTGTTGCAAAGTATTTTTTATTTTTCTCAGATTGGGCAAGAAAATGTTGGAAGTGATCATTAAGTGACAGAAACAATGGAGATGATTATTCAGATTAAGTCACAGAAAGTAGCATCCTTTTCTATTAAACAAAAGAAATGGTCTTGAAAGTAAAGTATCTTTAAAAATTACATGGATTATCTAGAATCCAGATTATGTACTTTTTCTTTTTCTCCCCATTTTATAAGGATATACATAAACAGATTACTTAGGTTTATTGCATTTAGATTTTAAAATAAGGCCCAAATTCTTATATGAGCTAAAGTATATTCTATTTTAAAAAGAGAAAACTAGAAAAAATACACTTTTAACATAGTAACTGTTTCAGCACAGTATTTTTCAAGTAAGTACATTCAAAAGGTTCTTTGGAGGCCTCAGGAGATATAGAACCAATAGGTTCAGGAGATTAATATACCTCCTTGCTTCCCATACTTGTTCTCCAACAAACAGAGTATATTACAGCTTCTCAAGTGTTTACTGGTACCTCAGATTTCACAACTGTCCTCTCCCTCTTCTCCTCCCACAGCTCCAACCTGGCTTGCTGGGCACTAGGGAAAGGTGAAGCACACAGCTCCAGGTAGAGCTTTGGACGTGGTGTAAAGCAGGCATGGAACAGCAGTGTGATGCAGCCCCACATAGTCAATTTTAACCTGCTCCCATAAATCATCTGGTTTTTCTCAGATGCTCTAGTTCACAGGGTTATCTGTCACTCACATCAATTAGGTGGGCACCAGCTCACACCAACACTTCTGTACTGAAGCTACAATGAGGTCTGGCAAGTTCCTTTTATGTATTGCATCTTTCAGATGGTCCTTTATCCTCATATATTTAGCAATGCATGTAAAACTTCGTCTTACTCCCTGCACCTTGCCATTCTCTGCTGGAAGCATGTGTGACCTATCCTACTTATTTTCATGTTGCAGATATCCTAATTCCTCACATCACTTATTTTTTTTCTCCCTCCAGTAACTTCTTCACTAGCACAGAAAGACAAAAAAACTTGATGGGGATGCCTTCACCTTAGTTAAGGCTCAGTTTTTCACTAGTCCACCTCCAATATACCAATCTCTCTATAAATGGCAATTTCTGTCATAGATCACAGTCTGGACTAAGTTATCAGGGCTGCTGTAGATGAAATCTATGCAATGCAGACACAGAAGATTTCAAGTTGACTGTATTTTAACTGGAGAATTTTTTTTTGGCCAGAATACACACACAGCTGAACTGTATACTCATTTTTGCATTGTACCCACCCTTGCTACGAAACTATATTAGGCACCAGACTTCCACAAATTATCCTAAATAACAAAATTGTTTTGGGCTCATTTACCTTAAACTCAGCAATCACCCAGGATACTTCCATCAGCTTCTGTCTGCAGGACAAAAAAAGAATCATATACAGGCTTTGAAATGGAATAATTTGCTCCACTATCTAAGTCAATATCATTGTCCCACCACCTCTATAAAATAAAACCCAGACTTACTCCACAAAAAAATAACTCAAACTTTGGTTTTACTGTACATCTATTTAAAACATGCTGAGTGGTTTTTTATCCATTCAGTTGACTACAGATTAATCAACCAAAGCATACAGTGTATCCTCTAAAATACACACAAAAACATATATACGTGTCAGCAAAACTGACAGTCAGACACTACTACAAGTAAAACTGGTGCTTTATTCTAAGTCCCTATTTGAACTTATTCTTAATTCACTGGGCTTCTACCAAATGATCAGAAGTTCTCAAGCCTCTTAATATTTTAGCCCCATATTTTAGAAATTTCAGATGAAATAATTTGTTTTCTAGGAAGAGGTATCTTTGTTTGAATAAAATTTCCCAAATACCACATTTGAACATAAATTATTTAAACAAATATGAACCAAATTCTTCATTTAGTAAATATATTAATAAAATTCACAACTAACAACTTCAGAGACACAATAGTTTAGTTTAGTCAGCAAGCTGCATACCTTTCCAGCCCCCAAGAACTATTCAAAGGCTTGCTAAACCAAAAATCCTAGAAATGTTTCTAACAATTTCTGAGATTTTGTCTTTTCTTCTATGAATCCATGTAATTTCCTTTAAATCCCATGTAATTTTTGGCCTCTGTACATTCCACAGCAGTGAGTTGTGATAACATGCCTTATAAAAAGGTAAATCTCTGTTCTTCACTTGCTTTACTTCTGTGCCTGAACTATTTCTTTTTGTGCATCCTTATTCCTGTACTGTGAACAAACCCTAGTTTATGCCTCTTCCCAGACTTATATATAGCAGCTGCTATATATATAAATATAAATAACATAAATATAAATATAATTATAAATATAATTATAAATATAAATATAAATATAAATATAAATATAAATAATATAAATATAAATATAAATATAAATATACATATACATATAAATATACATATACATATACATATACACATATACATATAAACATTAAATATATATATATATATATAAATACACTCCATCCATTAGGACCAAAATATCTTCAAAATGTGAATTCTGTGTATATTTCAGATTTGTGGGAGAAAAAAGCAATTCAGATAACCATGAATTTCAAATAATTTGTCCCAAAAGATACAATGACAAGATAGCCCCCATGACTGTAGGGCAAAAAAAAATTGTGACTTTTTCTGGTCAGAATTCAGCAAACCATTCCAATCTTGCAAAATTCTACATCAAAACACTACATAAAGATATGTGCTTAGGAATACTTTATTCCAGATATTGACTGCAACACTCCAAAACCTGTGTGCATGCTTATGCCAAAAGATTGATGTGCTTTTCACATCAATCTTATCCATTTACAGACTTGGGACCCGAAACACAAAAACATATTTCATTATCAAACTGTCTAACAAAAACTGCAAATTAAGTATCTTTAAAACTGCTCAGTCAGGTAGTACAAAGGTGCTATGCTTGCAAAGGCTTCCACATAGACATTTTAATTGCATTAAATTGTGACTGAGAAATGAGGCTGGTCCTGCACTGCATATATTATGTAAATAAAAACCATTTAAACATAAAATTATAAAAAATAATGAAAATAAAGGAAATTTTTATTTTGCAGCTAGGAGTGGTTCCTTTTTCAATTACGTAATAAAAGATTAATTTAAAAAATTTTAAAAATAACAAAACCACTTTGGAAACAAGTAAAGAAAGTGTAAGGAACAATTTAACACCCTCTGGGTAGAAGAAACCAGGCCATACACTAAAGATAAGTAAGTGAAGATATACTGTCTTAGCAAAGATGAAAATAAGCATATGCTGAAATATTTCCTGGAACAGGGTCTGGTCACAACTCTGCTTGCAATTCTGGTATTTTTAAAGTCATTTCTGAATAAAATCTGCCTGGATATTTCAAGAAAAAAAAAGAAGAAAAAAAGAAACTAGTGTCAGTTTCTGTGAATGCAAAAAAGGAATTAATAGCAATACACCCAGAGTGTAATTTAATGGACAGTAATTAGTTTCTATTGATATGCATTTTTTAATAAAAGCTGTAGTAGTTGTTTGTTGAAAGAGAAATATTTTGTGCTTTGTATCTGAAATCCATTTCCTGCCAATGCACTTTTTTTCTCTGCAATATTGCAGATGTTCTGTGAAACACCTTCTCTCTTTAAACCTTGATAAAATTCTTGACTGTGTCAAATGTAATAAGTTTTAGACAAATGACTGTCATCTCCTTTAGTAGGAGAGTTTGAAGAGAGCACAGCAAGTGTGTTTATTTGCATTTAGCACAGGCATCAGTGTGGTGTGTGAGGAGCTCTGGTACAGCTATTTTACAGCCAGTATGAAGAGATTTTTTTCTATGTCATGCTAAAGGACTGTAAACCTTGCTGATGCCTGTCTTATGCAATTTAACTCATTCTAATTCTTCTACAAAGAGTTCTTTTGACTTAGTAACTTCTTCAAGTCACTCTTTTCAAAAGACATATGGAAAACCCCACTCTCATGATTATTAATAATGTAGCTACTATGAGAAACTCTCAGAGTAGCAAGGAAAAAAAGCCCATAGAGACAGAACTTAATTTTATAGTGGTTGGTAGTGCTTAGTTTCATTTTCTTAAATGTTCCAGCCACTGAATAAAGAAATAATTTGAAAAGGAAATAGCATCTACAGTATTTGAACTTGCCTTTAGCATAAAATGTTTTAATGTTTTGAGTCTGTCTTTGACAACTGAAACAGACTTTACTGAATACTGGTAAGAGTTCACTTTGTAATAGAAAAGTAGTCACTCCCTGTGATCACTGTGTCTTTTTAGTATGCAGCCCAGAGGATTCAGAAAAAGATTACATTTACAATAATTAACATATATGTAAATGGAGATCATGGCTATGAATGATAAATTTTCATAGCAATTTAAACCTTGTTCAAATTAATCAACCATACAGACACTTGATTAATGAAAGGCAGCGTCACTTTAAAATGCAACATGTTAATACATATTACTGTTATCGCTGATCAAAGAATCTTTAAACATAAACCAATTAAAACAAAGTTCAATCTACATTTTTTACTGGTTTAATTCCTACAGAATTATAAGAGTATTATAAAAATTTACGTATTTTATTCTCCTTCATATCTATTTACTAAATTGACTGTAGTACAGAATCACACAAGTAATTCTGCTACTTCATTAATATGATTGGATGTGAAAACTACCAGATTAGTTTTTCAATCTAAGCATATACATAATGGCTGATTGCAAAGTGGGCAAAATGCATCCAATTTAATTCTTCATTTGTAAAACCAGTAACTTGCATCTCATCTCTCCTCAATTCAGTCGTCAACAGACCAGCCAGGCAGGAGCCATGAATGACTGATAGCAAGGGAGCTGTTTGGGAAGACTGCCTTTGTGGCACCTTCCCAACACCACCTATTTTCTAGGAACAAGCAAGGCTAGAAGGTTTTATGGCAATGGTAGATTTTTGCAGAGGTCACCCAAGCATCTAAACAAGTTTTGCTAATTTCAGTACTTGTCTTATATAATGAGATGTGCCTTATCATGCAACTCTGCTTCACTTCACTGGAAAATTTTATGTGTATTTTTCATAAATATATTTAGACAGTTGCAATTTCTTTATTGCTACTAATGAAAAGGCTCACTAACTTCTAAGGTGTACAATGTTGTTCCTTTTACCTCATGATAAGGAAAACCTAGTAAAAATATATAGCTCATTTCAAATTGTTACCTTAATAAAGACTTAGATGCTGTGGTCATGAAAAGAGAATATATGTCAGAAGGAGACTTAAAATGACTAGCTGACCTCTTTTTCTTTTATTCAAAATGTGTTTTCAACACACATTACATATCAGAATTTGTATGTCCAAATACTGAGCTTTACTGTAAGTGGTAGTATTGGTACAAGAGTGAGAGACAGTAAAATCGAAGTAAAAACATTACTTTTACAAAAGAAATAGAGATGACATAGAGTTGAATTTGGGAAATGGATCCAGTATGGCATATATGTAAATATATGTTCTTGTCTTTATGGAAGCTCCCACACATGTGAGGACTACCTGGATTTCAATATAAGGAACCAAAAATGCAACAAAATCAGTTTACTAACCACAGGAAGTATAATAATTGATCTGTTCCCTCCCCCTGTGGTAAAATGAGTTTCTGGTGCTAAATACAGTCCTTGGAAGAAGAAATACCTGTTAATGTTTTCCAGGCACAAGACAATACGATAATAAAATAGTGCATTCCTGCAGACAAGCTTGCAGAGATGCAGCCCACACTAGTGATCATGGTAATATGCAGTGTGCAGAGTCCCAAAGGAGTTACATTTTTCTTACACATGTACATTTTGCCAGAAATCTGCCCAAAAATCTATCAGTCTGTTGGACCATTTCAAACCAGTGAAGAACTTCAAACACAGCAGTCTCTTGAAAGAAGCTGTTCAGACTGTCCCAACTACAGAACCTCACAAAACCTGAAGCAGCTGCTGGTTTAGGCCACCTCTGGATCAAACCAGTTTGGATGTGTAACTTATCCAATATGTTGAATTTCATAGAAGATTGAGACTACGTTTGCTTTACTGCCATCTGGGCCACATCTCAGTGGCCTTGAGACCAGCCCCAAATTCAGTTTTGCCACTTCCTGATTTGCTGATGTGTGCCCTGAATTGTGCTGTGACCCAGCTTGGGCTTCTACAAGGAAATGCTCATCTGCATCCTGCACACAGCAAGGGTTTTACCCACTGTGCAGTCTAACCCCCAAACCCCATTCCTCATCCATAAGCCACCACCTCTCCCCTCTGGCTTTGCCTATGGACAGCCTGCTTGGGAAGCCTTCCTCCACAGCAGCTGTTGGCACTGATGGTCAAGCTGCCTACAAGCAAAAGACAATGGCAACAGGAGGCCTAATCTCTAAAATAAATGCGGAAAAAAGCAGATTCAAAAAAATGCCTAATGCCAACTTCAAAACATGCCTATATGAAACAGAAGCTCTGGTTGCCTTCAGGTGCTCTATGATTGGTGAAGGAAAATCACCATGTTAGCAGGTGCCTTGGGATAAATTATTCACATGCAATAGTTTATTTGTTCACATTTTCAATAAATTTTTTGCTTTACTTTTTATATTTTTTTTAATATTGTGATTTTCTACTACTTAGGTGCTGGCCAGGTTGGAGGAAAGCTTGTAAACTCTTTGCACAGCTGACCTATGGAGTCTGAAGAGACTGAGAGGGACCCCACAACTATTTCATCTGACCTCTGTTGGTCAACACACTCCTCTGACAGTGCTGCAGAAGATAGAGCTAAGGACAGCTTTCAGACTCTGGAAAAGTACCAGAGCTTCTTCTTCACACCTCCTTATGTAGGGTGAATAGTAAGGATGATTATGCTTCAGCTGGACTACTCTTTAAAAATTCTCTTAAAAATATTATAAAAAAGATGTCAATATTCTAGATATCTTATAATTGCTTTTGATTTCCTCTCCTAGTTATATACAGGCATTATAGTCCCTCAATTTCTTCTTCATCCTCAATGTATTTGTAATCTGTCTCACTAATCTTATTTAGCCATTTGATTTGGAAAGGGAGCTCTTGGCTGGCAGCTGGGTTGGGTTATCTTATACTTGGGGTTCAGGTTAAATATCTATGTTCTCACATCCTACAACTGATTTTGTACAAAATTTTTCCCCTCACAAATGCCAATAGAGGCTGCTGAAGGAGGAGAAAATTCTTGTTTGTTTGTGGCTGTTGGGACACGAAGCAGGAGGAATTTTTATTCTATTCAGAGCACAAAATAGCTCAGCTTTTAAGGAAGTGTGTGTATTTGTTGGCTTGTAATTTTCAAGCATGTGTTTTAGCAGGGAGCAGAAGTAGAGACACAGCAGTAGTCTAACAAAGAAGGATCCATTAACTTGACTCTTTATTTTCTAGCAGATTGCAATTTGCTCACTAATTGAATAGTGGTAGCTCTTTCCAGTGGTAGCTGGAAAACAGAGCTACAACCTGGCATCAATCTTCTTTTGATGGAAGTCAGTGGTGGCTATGGGCTATTTTGACACTTGACTACCTGTCACCCAACATTGGTATCCAGCCTTACTAACCCCTGCCAGAGCTGCAACTACTTTTAGTGAAGGAGAATTTGAAGCAGAAATATTGACAAGTCATACAAGACTGACCTAAGCCATGAAATGATGGCATTGACAACATCCTGGTTGAGTGCTACAGAAGTGCTTGGAACATACATTTTTAATACCTCCTTAAGAGTAAAATATAAGCTCCAGAAATTGTTTTCGACAAATTTGGGAATATGTGTTGATATCTCAGGATCAATTTTTAGTGTGTATAGAGGTAAGGTCATTGGTCAAGCAGATGTGTTTCCCCTGTACACCTACATTTGAAAGTCAGCAGAAGATTTCTCAAGCCTGTTTTATTATTCCTTTTCTTAAGCTGAGAAAGACATTTGAAACTCAGCTCTTACCATTGCATGTCTATATCCAAATACCAAAAAAATTGGACATGTATTTTCCCTACTGGCTTCTTATTGCATTAGACAATGCTGTGCTACTGTGTTCAATTGAATACTGATAGTTTTTACTGCACTTATATTCATCAATTTTGTGAACATTTGGTGATGTTACTCTCCTGGTGGTGAGTTCTGCTACATGAAGACCCAAATTCAGTATCTCTTTATTAATGTTCAATCTTTACAATAAACTTTAAAGGATATTTTCATTAGATTTCAGCAGGAAACCACATGAGTAAAGAGAGATACAAATTTAATAGATGTAAGCCTTGTTTCTCACAAGCTGAAACTGTAAATACTCTGGTTGCTAACTGGATTCTGCTAGAAGGAAAACACATTCTTATTTCAAAATATCTACATAAGGAAAAAGCAGCTATACAAGCTACCTAGCTTGAGGACATCACTGGCTGTGCAAAACAGGTCCCTCTCACTCAGGTTTCTCCAGCTTTGTTTGAATTAATTTTATCCTCCAAAAAGGCTAAGATTGTGACTGAAAGAAAATGATACCATGTGAGTAGCTTTAATTTTGAGTGCCGAATGAAACTTTAAGTATTTAAAGTCCTGCATTACATCACAACCCCTAAAGTCTTAAAAAAAAGTTCTGAGGGCATAAAAATATTCTCTGCAAAAACATTGCTAGCTATTAAAGTAACCAGTGAATACCACCCAGACAAAGGTACCCTGGCATGCCAACATGAGTGCACACGGGTTATTACAGGTCCAGGTCTTCACCTCAGCCTCCTGGAGTGGGTTCTATACCTTGACTGTCTGTGTGTTAGCAGAGAATTGTCCCACCCTCCACAAAGCTGGGTCCTGGAGGGGATGGCATTTGCATGAAGGACACTTCCTTCATGAATCTGAAATCTGCCTGGTAAGAAGTTTGGAATCAAACATAAAACCAACAGACATTATTCTGCCTGCAGCAGAAATGTAGAGTTCAAACAGATTTGTTGAAATGTATTTAAGAATTGTGGTAAGATATTTTAGAATATTGTAGCACACATGTGTTAACACAAACCAAGCCAATTAGGGCAAAACATTCTGGATGTTTTATTCCCGTTAACCCAAACATCAACAAGCAATCTCTTCTGGGTTACTGCTAAGATGTCAGTGTTCTAGATTTCCATTTTAAGTGCTGAATAGAAAAAAAAAAAGCCTAAAAATTTGGATTGGAGAATGACCCTGACTAAAGTAGATTAAAATTGGAAAAGTTGCAATTGAAAATATTATAAGAATTTTTTTTCTATAAAATATGTTACTGGCAAATATTTCTATCTCTTTTTTTTTGAACTTGTAATATAAAAATAGTAATCTAAATGTTAACTTCTTAATCTGTGTTTTTATATTTAAGATAAAAAATCTGGAATTTAGCAAAACATAAATTCAGTTAGGTATGAAGATTCCAATTAATTTTACTGAACATAATTCATAAGTGAAAGTATCTCTTGGAGCCTTTTCAATCCTAGACAAATTTTCCTGTCCCAAAACTTCCCTAAGAGCCACACGTTCAAATCTATCCTTTGTTTTATTGACCCACAGAATTGCTGTGATAGTTTTATTCATTTAACCACTGAAGATCCTGATATATTTGCCTGTGTTACGTATTTATGACTATAGTGTCGACAGCAGGAAAGCAGCAGGTGCATCAGCCTCCCTACCTTGTGGCTGCTGGGGAGAACTGGAGGCGTCTCTCTGGGCTCTGCCAAGCACAGCCAAAGGCAGGGCAGCCCATGGACCAGTGGAGCTGAGAGGCCAGAAATGGTGTTACTGACAACAAGTGGCAGCAGAAAAACCTTCAAGGTTTGGTAGCTAGGGTGTTTTACAAAGGAGGCTGACCAAGGTAAGGACAGCAATGAGCTCCTTAGGAGTGCCAAGGGGAGCGAGGGCAGTTCTGTACACCAGATAGGGAGCCAGAGAGAGGCACACATTCACAACACAATCATATCAGTTTAAGATCAGGATTAAGTTTTTGATTCCAACAGAAGGGTTGGGAGATTATTAAATATGCTGTTTAATTGCTGTGACTACCAGCTCTGTTAAAGTGTTAAACCTCTTGTTTCTCATTCATTATGGAACAAAAGACCAAGCATTTAAAATACTCCTTTGTCACCAAGACTTATAAGACAAACTGCTGCCCTACTCCTTTCCTATTGGGGCAAAGGAAAATAAAATATTCTCATCCAATTACACTAGAAAGGTGATCTTGTTAAAATAGCTAGGAGCTATGATTTGGGAGTGTCTATGCTCAATATTCATTCTTCTTTGCCAGAATATTTTTTTAAAGTCTGCACTATCGGGACGTGTAAAATCCATGGTTCCCATGTGCAGGCCTTTTACCAGTTTCTCTCCACAGCTGCATCCATAGGCCTGAGAAAGAGGCTGGGATTTCTGGTATCATGTTAACCCAGCCTCCACTAAGAGGCTCTTACCACAAAGATACTCTCATGATTACTGTTGCTAGTGGAACTGCAAAGCAGAAACTGTAAAATGGGGGTGGTTTATTTTCTGCTAGTTTGTTTGTTTTGAGGAAAAAAAGAAAAAAACCTAATAAAAATCTACCACAAAACTTACTCCAGGCAAATATTTAGCTATTCTTATAATGTATAATAGGGCCCAGTCTGAATTCACATCTCAATAGATTACAATCCACATCATCTCACATTTGGCAAAAGTGCCAATTCCTCAGAGCTACAAAGAACAATATCTATACTTAAGTCCATACTCACCTCAATCAGTCTGTGTCTGCGCATTCTGTGGGGGATTTAGAGGATGCACAGGTCATTGTATCAGAGAATTGAAACACATATTACAGTACATTATGCTGGGCTTCACCTGGACTGGACACACATGAAAGAGAATTCAGCTGCCACAGCTCCCTTTGTATCTCCGTTTTTCAAATTCTGAAAACAAGCTGAAAAGGAGAAAAGAGACTCAACTTTTTTAAAGCCACAAAACTACTGAATAAAGATATAATCACAGGTTTGAATGAAGGTAAACAATGTTATCATCAAATTACAGGCAGTTTTAAACTAAATATTCTAAATGTGGTATTTCCATGTTCATGGAAAATTTGTTTCCATCTACATTAATTGCATTACAGAGTTTTAATGGAATGCCTAGTTAAATTGTTAGAAGAATAGGTAATATCCATATAAAAAGAAAGAATAAAATATGGCACCTGGCAAGGTTTTAAGTTAAAAGCTTACTGTTACTTATTTTGTATTTAATTTGTACAAATGACTCAAGAAGATGTAAAATACAAATGAGAAAAAAAAATCCTATAACAAAGGAAAAATTACAGAGTAGGATTTCCAGTCATTCAGGTTTGCATTTCAACAAAACAGCCTATATCTTGGATTTGTGTGGAACTGGTTTTGAATTTAGAAATAATATCTGCACTAGATGTATATTAGATGCAATACTAAAAGCCACCTTACTCTTCCACAGGTTTAGGGAAACCTGATTCTTCCACACCAGATCATTGCCCTTTGTGGGCACCTACATGACTCAGCCAAAACTTACTCAACTTCTAGATATGGTCCCAGGACTGGAGGGTGATTCTGGGAAGCACTGAGAGCCACCGGCCCAAATTACTTGTATGAGAATTGCAGACAAAAGGCTCCTCATGCATTCAGGGAGCAGAGAGTTGTTCATAGTAAACTCCAGCTTATTATAAGTATGAAAATGTCTACATATAAATTTCTGAAAGCAATTTGGTACCTTCTCTCTGAATTTAAAATGCCTCCTTCTTCAGGAAAGCTGATCATGCAGATGAATCATGTGCCTTTTCATAGATATAAACAATTTCAATTTTCATTTTTTCAAGGTGATAAACTGGAAAGCTGGTGGGTTTACCTGGAATGGCATAAGTATATTCATGAAAGTAAAGAGCCAGATTCTGTCATTGAGGAAATGTGTCTGTGAGAAGGTGAGCAGCCACGGAGGAAGAACTCAGTAAATTCTGGTTTAAATATTTCATCTCTTTATTTTACTAGTTCAAGATAAAATACATCACTCCTGTACATATATTTAACAGCTGGTAATTCAAGAGTAAACTTTGATTCACGGGACTATGTTCACTAATGACTGGAGCTACACCATTAGCCATGTGGTGAAAGGGTTTTCACCAGACAGCAGTAGCTGCAGCAAAGGCTATTAATTTAATTTATTTTCTGTAAAAGACCTCACCATGCTTAATATGTTTAATACTTTTTAAAAATTGTACTTACTACACTGTTGCCCTCCCCAACACAGTTTAGCTTGTCTTTTTGTTGTGAAGCACTTTTGTGTGAGAATTAATTTGACATGTTTGTAGGTTATCTACCACTAAGCCACAGGAAAGCCTAAGTTGTTCTCTCGCTTTGTGGTCTCCAGATGGTGGAGGGTGAAAAGTTATTGAGGATTTGAGGAATTCTGGAGAATGAAGTAAACACTGCCTTGTCATATTACCTTTCTGTCTTTTAAATTACCCACACTGGTGTGGTTCATGTGGCTCAGTGGTGGCACTGAACAAAGCAGATGTTAATGACTCCACAAAGAGAGCACCTTGGTGGAGCAGTCTGAGTGCCCGTGGCTGGCAGGCGGCGCAGAGGTGCAGAGCAGTGTCCTGTGCAGAGGGACAGTCCCTCCCTCCCCGGGGCATGGCCGTGACCTGCCCTGCCGTGGGCAGCTGCTGTGTAACTCTCTTGATGGGCGCTGCCAAATCCTGGCTCAACTCAAGCCTAGAAGGACCAGTCAGTTCAAACAGGCAGCAGAACACCCACCCGTGCTCCAAGTGGACCAGGACCAATGTGTCCCTACTCAGAGCCACCGTTCCAGCCTCCAGACAGTGAAGCAAAGATTGCCCAAGGGCAGCCAGCAACCCCAGCAGATGGCATGGACAGGCCCAGAAGGCAGCCTTTGTCCACGGCCTTTTCCTGTGTCATGGAGAACACTTTGCCCACTGACAGTCTCCTGAACCGCTGCTGTTTGAAATTTCAGGTGCCACAATTCAGGAGAGGAAGGTGGAGGGAAACCTTGCTAATATCATCAGAACCTGCCAGGTTTTCTTTTCCATATTCATTTATGTACAATGATTAGCTCGTTCTTCTCAAATGCCAGGGATGTATTGCTCACTGGAGGAACTTCAGTACCCAGCAGTCTTTAATGTAAAAGGCAAACCTTTCCACTAATGAGCAGTTTGTCTGGTGTTCTTAACCTTATCAGCAGCTCCTGAAGTGATAAAGGCTTAACTATTATGCACTGAAAGGTGTTGATAATTCTCAATCTTCATGCAGAAAAAGGCTCTTTTTTTGTCACTTCTTAGACTCTACTGTTAAACTTCCCCGACTGCTTACAAATTACCTTGCCCGTTCTGCAAAGCAGACAGCTGGATGCGTTGGTGGGCAGTCGGCAGGTGGAGCCTCCTCTTGTCAGGACAAAAATGATACCTGCTGTTAACAGAAAAAGAACACTGTGCAGTTTAATGATTTAGACCTGTTCTAGAAAACGACGAGAGTTCTGAGTAGCTGGCA